GGTGAAGTGTAGGCAGAGAGGGAGAAGAGGACAACAAACGAGGGGCTGTGACAGACTGTTTCGTCGGAGTTTCACCGGCGCATCGGGAGGCTGAATATATATATGATGTATGTATTGTCGAACGTATGTATATGAAAGGGCAATCTTCTCGACAATCAGGGGTTAAGATATGCAACAACTTGATGCCAACGTCGCCTTTAAGACAAAGGACACTTTATGGGAGAGAGAGCCTGTGCGCTGTCCATTGTATAAGTCTTTCGATCCAATGGTGGAAATTGATTCGAGATGCAGGTGGATTGAGGCGAATGGTTGTATCGAGCGCCACCCGAGAAAGGAGGAAAGAATGCTGAGGTGACAAAGATTGTCATGAATGGAGGAGAGCTTGGTGGTCGTGCGGCGGCGCGTATACACAGTTTATGGCGTTGCAGGACAAAGAAGACAACCAGCGTTACGGAAGTGGATAAGATATGGATAGCATTTTTGATAATGGCGACAACGATGAGTGGGATTTGGAGCTTATCGATGAGCTTGTGCGAAGAGCAGAGGAGGAAAATGCTGCGAAAGTGGTTGGCAGAAGCAGCTTGCCTCAGCCCGAGAGGGTCACTGCCACGCCTGCGACACAGAGTGGTGGCGGGAGCAGGTGGCAGGATCGGCAACAGCCCAAGGCAGACGAGCACAAGCCGCTTGTTCCGTCTGTTTACCCCTCATCTCTGCCGAAGGCCGGTGGCTATTCCAACCCCTTTGAGCAGCGTCAGCGGCCACCGCTGCCGCAGCTGCAATGCAATCCAACGTATGGAGCGCCATCCAGGAACTTGCCATGTCAGCAGCCCATGGACTTGCTTGGGCTGATGGACCGGAAGGTGGCATTGGACTCTGGCGGTTTACGAGATCAAATCCTGCAGCACCAGCGCCAGGAGCAGGACCAGGACCAGAAAATCAATCCTGGTTTGGCCGCAGATGAGCGTTGGCAATTCAACCGAGGTCTTACGTCGCAACAGCCGCTGCAGCACCAACAGCAACAGCGGCTGGGTTTGGCAGCTCCTCCCGATTCGTGCGTTACAACCAGCGAATCAGGGTTTGGCAGCCGGGGAAACAGCGACAGCGGCCAGGTCTGGAGGCAGGAGAAAAGACCAGGTCATCATCAGCTACAGCGCCCAGGCGAAGGGCTTGTGTTTCCTGTTCAGGAGCGTAAGCCTCTACAGTACGGGGAACAGTTAGCCCGTCCACGTTCCTATGAGCATGACTTGCAGCAGTCACAGGGGCCGAGGGCCGGGTTTCGTATGGATCAGGCCCGACATAGACAGTACCGAGATGGCCAACCCCTTGGCTTGCAGAACCCCATCGGAGCTCCTGACCGTCTGCAATCCCAGGCTTCAGATGAGACACAGCCGTTCTACAATGAGGCGAGGCACAACCCACAGCTTTCTGAGCCTGTCCAGTCGGAAAAAGCAGCGTTTGAAAGAGAGATACCGAAAGTTATGGGTGGGACTCTGGCTCCATTTTCTCAACAGGAGAAGTGGCATGATGTCCATGCAGCCCAGTCGCAACGACCCATAACTGCTTTGCACGAGATGAGTGGCCGTGCTTGTACACGCGGATCGGGTTTGGCAGCGCATCCTGATTCACTTATTATGACAAGGCCAGCAGCAGGTGGGGCGCCACTCTGGCAGCCGTTGTCGCAACGACCGTTGGATGCAATGAATGCAGACAGGACTGTTGGGAAGTCGCTGCTTCCTGGTCCACTGCAGAAGACATTTCTGGATGATCCTTCGTCAGATGCACTGAGAGGTGGTGGTGGTGGGTGGAGGGAGGGTGAGATGATAGGGAAAGGAACAGTAGGGCATTGGGCTGGGAGAGAAGACCATGGGGGCGTTCCGAGTGCCAGAGTGAACAGCAGCCACTTTACAAACAGTGTTCAGAGGCCTTCTCGTCCACAAATCACGGACCGTGCCCTGGTGGTCGCAGCCACTGATCAGCACAAGGTTTACACCCAACAAGAGCACGATGCTGACCCTGCTGTCCCTCCTGGGGGTGTCGAGGCTGGGATGCATGAGCTGATACAGCTTCGGAATGAGAGAGAAAGATTGCTCGAGTCCGTTATGGAGAAGGAAGGCAATATTTTGATTCTGAGATCAAGACTCGCTCAAGCCGATCGAGAAATGTCAGACTTGAAAAGAAAGGTCAGCAGTGCAGGAGCCGCTTCTGTTTCGTCGTCTTCTCGTCAGCCTCGGTACGAAAAGCACTCGAGCGACGTCGCTTGGGAGATTGAACGCTTGCGCTCGCAGTTGTTGTTTAAGGACCAAGAGATCCTTGAGCTGCAGAGTGCACGTGAAGAAAGGGATTTGAAGTTAAGGATGGCATTGGAGGAATCAGCGAGGTTGAGGGTGGAGGCTGAAGCGCATAAGAAAGCACTTGCAGAAGGCTGTAATTTCTCACAGTCTCAAGTTCCACGGGACCAGATGCAGACGGACAGGGGCTTTGAAGGTTCTCAGCACTCCGTTCCAAATAATGCAATCGTCAAGTACCGACTCAGAGAGATGACAGCAGCCTTAGGATGGAACGAGGAGGAAGCGTCCAGAGAAAGAGGTGTAGGAGAGGTCCCCAGGGAGGAACCTGTGGTGTCCCAGCGACTTGAGATGGATGGTGCAGATGGTGGCGATGCCATGGAGGTGCAAGAGGAGGGCTTGAAAGATCCGGGATCTAGTCAAGTTGCCAGCGATGGACCTGGTACGCAGGTAAGTCTCTCCTGTAAGGGTGTAGGACGCGATAATTTAGAAAGGTGGGGCCCCAGGAAGGGCGACGAAGAGCAGTTGAGGGAGCAAACTGAAGACCGGCATGTCGCTGCTGTCATGGGCACGGCGGTCTTCCGAGCAGGCTCGGTGGAGTTAGATTCGCAAGGAGTGGAGGCAAGGGGACGGACCGGTGGCGCGTATGATCGTTCGGAGCTTGGTCAAGCAACGCTGGATCCTCTGGCCGAGCCAGGGAATGCAGAGCAAGACGATAGAATGTTGAAAAGCGGGAAAGACAAAGCGGCTGATGCGGCAGCGCAGGTGGCGAGGAGTGGCTCTCCTTCTGGCGCACTTGAGTTGGCTCAAGTGGATGCGGTGTGGGGTCCCCAGGCTGTTGGATCAAGGGGAAGATATGGACGGGTGCTTGTTGAAGGGGAAAGAGGGAGCAAACTTAGCAGGCAACAGGTGCCGTTCAACGTGACGCGCATGTTCGGTCCGGTGGTGGGTGAAAAATGCTCCCTAGTTGTCCAGAAGTTGTTTGCTTCGTGTGCACAGGAACTATACTCCCTGCTGAATTGTAATAACTACGTAGTCAGGGAAAGTGATGCCAGTGCGACCAATGATGACATGGCAAGGAGAGTGGGGGGAGGTGGGTCAGTGGCATCTAGAGCAGTAGGCGCAGGAGGTATGGGAAGAGGGGGTCCCAGGAGAAAAGTAGGGTTCAGCCACTGTGAAGCAGGTGTTGAGGAAGATGAGGAGGAGATGGGTGTGGTGACGAGAACAGCCGCCGAGATCTTGCATGACTGCCTTGCCAAGGTCATGAATCAGCTCGCTCCTGTGAGCGTGTTGATCTTCCCACTTTTGAGTTTTCTCGATTCCCACAACCATAACGACGATGTTCTTCAGAATGTTCTCCATGTTTTGGGAATGATACTTCTAAATAATCGTAACTGTCGTTACCTTATGTTTGAGAGTACCCAGGTTCTCTCTGCAACAAAGGAAAACCTTATCGCCGCAACAGGGCAACAATCGTCAGAACAGGAACAGCTGGTGGGGAGCAGTCCACTGCTGGACGTAAGGGACATTGCATTCCGCATATGTGCTTCTATGAAGGTCTCAGCCGCCTGCAATGGGCCAATAGGGGCAGAAGGTCCTACTGGTGGGCGCTCGAGGTTGGTTTTCGTCGAGGGCCATGGATGGACGGTTGGAAAGCATGGAGGACTACGGGGAGGAGGAGGAGGAGGATGGGGAGGAGGGGGAGCTGTGGAAAAGAAGCCAGTGTTTGAATCTCCAAGGATTCTGGTTTCTGATGCCAAGCAACAGTTGTCTTTATCTGGAGCTGGTTGCTCTGCAGTGAAGGGTTCAGCTGAACCCCCAGCAGCAATAGCGATCACATATGCAGGGGAAGGAAAAGATGCCTGTTATGGTGATGCTGGTTATGGCAGCAGGGAGAGACATGCAGAGCACGGCACGGGAGCTGTCCCAGACGTGGTTATGGCTGAGGAGGATGACGTCGAGGGTGGAAGAACAGCCGAGAACCGTACGCCGAGGGACACAGTCGAAGGTCTTCGGATCAAAACGGAGCCGTTGGATGCTAATGCTCCAGGAGTTTCTGCGGAGAATGTCTCAAAGAATGGATGTGGGTTGGATTTGAACAAGGACTTGCAGCTGGAGGGAAGTGCAGAAGTGATGGGAAAGGTAGACTCTCGGGCACAGAGCTTGATGGCAGCTAATTCGCCGTTTCTCAGAGTGGTTGAGCTGTCAATAAGGCCAAGAAGGTGTGAAGGTGTACAGCGTGAGGCCCTCTGTGTCCTGCTAATGTTGGTCGCCAACTTAGACCCGAAGGGAGACAGGCAGAAGTTTGCCCCAATTTTGTTTGAGGGGGTGATCTCTGCGGTCCTGACGAAAAACACAGGCACACAGGTCAGACTGGAGGCTGTTTGTCTAGTGCACCTGCTTTTGCAATGCCCTGGAATACGCGAAAGAGTGTGTTTGCGGATCAAAGAGGAGCATGCGGACAGACAGAACTCTGAGCTCGCGAAGGCAGGGTTGGTCGAGTCGGCGTCTTCTGTACCGAGGAAGGACGACGAGGTGTTGGAACTGCTGGCAGCCTGCCTGAATCATGGAGGGTATGGTTGTCACGATTACGCGTTGCGGAGGAGCGCTTTGCGTACGTTCAATTACCTGGCATTTGCACAAGGTGGTGATGGTTTGGCAAAAATCTTAGCTCTCGGGAGCTGTGCTGCCGATGCGTCGAAGGTAAAACAGGAGCCGATGGAAATAGAAAATAAAGCACTTGGGAAGCACGCCATGGTTGTGCACGGAGTCGACACCAACAAAGCTTTGCTGGGAGGCCGTGACTTGCGAGACAATCTGCATGCTGAACCGCGCATGCGCAGAGGAGGCTCTGCCGCCAAACGGAAGGCGCGAGTTTTGCAGAGACTGGAGGACGGAGAACACGGGTTGGAAGATTGTTTGGTTGTGAATGGAGAGATAATAAAGGAACGATCCATCCCGGTGCGTCTGGTAGCTGTCTTGGAGAGAGAGCTTAGCGCAGACGATGCAGACGCTGATGGTGGTGGTCCTCTTAGCCATAGAGAAGTAGTTGCAGAAGAGCGGAGGAGCCTCATCTGGGAGGCGATGTCGCTGTTATGTCAGATGTTGTCACACCAGTCTAGAGGTTCGCAAGCGCTTTCCTTACTGATGCAGTCCAAGCAGACGGCGCACATGTCGTTACGCGTAGCAAGTAGGATAGTGAACTGGTCACAAAACAACTCAAGCTCTCGCTCTGTGCCCCAACGACTAAAAGTCATCACTGGGATGTCTGAGAATATCACTGACCTCGCTAATCGTTTTCAGAACTGGATCTTGGCTTCCTTTCCCAAGTTTGAGGAATCCTGTAAAGTACCGATGGAGTGTCCGATGGTTCGGAAATGAGCTGTTGTGGGCCCCGATGCCGCGATGCATCCCTGCATTCTTTTTTTCTTTTTTTTTCCCGACTTTTCTTCCTTGTCGCTACTTTGTTGATGTCCTCCCTGCATAATAAAAATTGGCTGCTTTCAGAAGCCGCTCTCAGGAGTTTTCTCCAATCACTCTCCGAGTTTGAAAGATTGTGCGTGTGCCATGTCCATCCTGTAACTCTTCTCTCCTTTTCCTCTTTTCCTTTTTTTTTTTGGTGTCATATGTCCTGTCAGACCCCTCTGCAAGGATCAGGAATCAACAGAGTTATTATTTTGACCTAAAACTTCTAAAAATAGTAAAAAAGCTAAAAGTTTTGGACTTCTAAAAGCTTATGGTACCACCATTTTTGTCTTTTTTTTTGGCTGTTAAACACGTCTCACTCGCTGTGTGTTTCCTGCGGTGCTGCCAGGCAAACGAAACACATTCCAGCTTCTTTTGTTTTTTCCAAAGAAACAAACTTCAATGTCCACTGCATTCTCTGTGGCCATCACATTGTCATTGATGAAATGATAGGCACCAGTCCACTGAAGAGATGCAAATCAAGAATCCTTCATTGGATTTTTGAGTTTTTCATTTCTTCACTGCCACCCCCACCCCCCTTTAAAGCTGTGTTATTATCCATGTGGCCCTGACTGGCTCTTGACAAGTTGATAGTAACTTGATACACAAGGTACCCCACCCAGGCGGGCCTGAGGGAAGGGTGTCACCTTGAAGTTCCTCAATAATTTTGAATAAAAAAATACAAATATAACATGAGGGTTAAACCACCAGTACTTCCGAGACACTTTTCTCCGGTGCGGAAACGCCCTGTGCGGCAAGCTTTGTAGAACCGCCAGCGCGGCTTTTTTTTTCGTTTGCCTGGTGGCGCCAGCCAGTACTTCCGAGGCACTTTTCTCCGGTGCTGGAAACGCCCTGTGCGCCAAGCTTTGTCGAACCCCAGCGGGACTTTTTTTTCGTTTGCCTGGTGCCGCCAGCCATTGTGGTCCGGTAGGCCCGAAGCCCGCTTAACGCGGCACATATACGACAACGGCCCGCGGCCCATGTATGGGTCAAGTACTGCTGGTTTAATATCCATTTCCCATCAGAGTTTGAACCCCGAACCTTCCTCGGTGGCCCGTCACCGGATTGGAAGATAAGGCTGAATTCTGACTGCTCAGAAGCCATGCACAATCCTGGCCTGAAGTCAGGGTTTTTTTTTTTTTTTTTTTTTTTCCTTTGGATTCATCCCTCTTTTTTTGCCCCCGCCTGGTTTTCCAGGGCGGTTGCCACTTGCCCGCCTGGCTGCGCGCGCCCGGTGAACAGCTTAGCCTTAGACGGCAAGTACACTGCCAAGACGGCAAACTTGCGAATCGAAAATGAGTCATTCTGAAAAGTTCCGATGAACATTGCTACCGGACCAAAATGGCTGGCGGCGCCAGCGAAAAGAAAAATTAACACGCTGTGCTGGCGTTTCGGCAAAGCTTGGTGCACAGGGGGACTGTGCCTCGACAACAAGAGGCTCGGATGTACTGGTAGCGAAAACCACTCCCATGCCTCTTTTTTCTGATGCTTCTGGACCCTAAAGAAACAGAACTGTTGTGGGCGCGATCTTGCTGGGTGCTGCCAGCCTTTCCCTCCAGCAGGCCCAAACGGCAATCTTGAGGAGTGTTAATCGGCATGTGGGAACAAGGTACCAGCAGGGAAGTGAACTGGATGTGGGAACAAGGTACCAAGGAAACAGACTGGTCGTGGGAAAGAGGTACCAGGGAGACGGCCTGGTGGTTTAAAGGGGAATAGCTGCTTACATTGTCATATCTGAGGGCGTGCACACTTGCACTACCTGAAATGTATCTGACCGTAGTTATACAACCTGGATGTATCTGGCAGCAATTATGTGCACAACTAAATGGAAAAAGTTCTTGTGTGAGTATGCCCTGATTCTTTCAGGACTCGAACCGATGATTTGTTTCTCAACAGTGATGTGTGCATACTGGTCCTCCACATGGG